ACACACACACACACACACACACACACACACACACACACACACACACATTATCCGACAAAACTAACGGATGAGTTGCCATCGCAGCAGCAATGTAGATTAAAGTAACTAAAAGAAACAACGTGGCATAAGTGTTAGTTAAGATACACTCAACACAGCATCAACCTCTTACCGATACACCGTTCCTGGCTGAATGTAATGGAAGGCATCTATCTTCATCAGAAGACCCTACAGAGGAGGAGGGAGGGGGGGGTTCACTCTTAATTATCAGTACGGAGGAATGTACACATTTATTCCGATGCAAAAGGACATTTGTGATTTAAAAGAATGTACCTTTTGGATGTCATAGTGCAGACCCCGAACGGTGAAGTTGGGAATGTAATCATATTTGTGGATGCCCTTAGGGTACTGTCAAGCAGGAAGACAAAACGGATAAATTAACCTCAATCTAAAAGCAGTTGTAATGCCCATATACTTGATGCAGCGACTGTAAAACGCACCTTGAAGTGTTCGATTAGGAAGCTTTTCGCTTTGTTGTAGATCATTATGTTGAGTGCACTTGAGTACATCGCCAGCGTGTAGTCATAGTCAAAGCCGTAGATGTCCACCTCAGCCAGGTTGACCTCGTTGTTGGCGTAGATGGTGGAGGAGTTGAGGAGGTTACACGCACCTGGTGGGATCAGGACTGAGAGCAGATGGGGAAACCCTCATTTAATTAATCCAGTCAAAAGTAGATCAAATCAGACAGAAATCAATGAATAAGCAAAAAGAAGGGAACAAAACACAAGTCACTGTTTTCATTTTGAGGAAGGGTAGGATTAGGCAATTCATGTTGTAAAAATCTGTAATATTCTCTTGTATTATGAAACAGATTTCTGACATCTGCAGAGACGAAAGCAGTAATTCCACTGCTGGTTTCAATCTAGCGAGGCTGGCGAGCTCATTGGAAGTTGCGTAATATGTGCTTCTAGGATGCCAACTGACTCTTAACAGAACTAAGTCCAGCCACCCAAAAAATTAACTTTTAGCACAGCTCTTACAAATTGAGGGTATTATATTTAATGTACGGCTGATTGGTAGCATAGCATCCACTACCTCTTGTAATAGCGGTTCTTTTAATTATCCATTTCATGAGTTTTGCTCGCCTCTGTTGCACACTTTGATAAATACAACAGCCATGCAGCCAATGCATGGGCACAGTGTAAACAAACATTTTACAATCTGTTCCTGAGACAGCCTCCAATACCTTAGACAGGACTGTGTCACAGCAATGAGGCCCGCAGCAGACATGCCCATGCACCAACCCAAGGCTAGTTTCTCACTGTCCCCGTGTTGAGTCACATCAAACTATAAGATTTATGAAATAACTAGTTGGTCTGAAAGTGACAACAAATATATGCTCCACACATATATTACAGTATAGTTACACAGTAAAAATAAATATCAGCACACATTTACATTGTGTGTGTGTGTGTGTGTGTGTGTGTGGGGGGGGGGGGCAAAGAACCGCCCGCAATAGGCCCTTTTCACAGCAGCCATTTCGACATGTAGTTGCAGGATGCACACAGTGTAATCGATAAAAAGGTCCCATTCTATTTAGTGGCAAAGCCATTACAGTGAACCAGCCCGACTAAATGGAACAGGGCCCTAATTGATTGTTTATTAAATCAACACACGTGTTAACCCTGCAATTACTTGTCAAAATGGCTGCTGTGAAAAGAGCACACGAACTATGCACTCTTGCTCAACCTAAACAAGTAGGTGTGTCTAAACCTAAGGAGGTTTCTGAGAGAAACTCCCCTCTTGTGCATATTTAGAATGTGTAGAGCTAAAAGGTAATTAACTATGGAAGTTTTTTTTATATTATCTGAAATTGTTCATGCTTTTTATGCTCTATTTTGAGCATTACACTTTATTCCAAATGTACTTTTATGACACCATAAAAAAAACAAAAACATTGTTTTCACCATTAGTTAAAAACAATTGCTGACATTAAAATACCATTATGAAAATAACACACATTAGCTAATATTTCTTCAGTTCGGTGAAGTTGAAGATTTCTTTTCCCATCTTTACTGAACGTATTTCTCGTTCGCTTACGTTAGGGGCTGTTTTTGTTTTTCTTAAGATCAAAAAGTGGAACTACGGGGAACATGTTGCTGGCTGGTTATATTTAAAAACAGCAAACGGATGTTGAAACTTTACCCTAAACCGCATTTGGCCTGTGAGGAACTACCAGCATGTTGTGCCATCTGTCCGATTTACGCGAGCGTTACTCTGAAAGAGGATGAAAAACAACCCCCACGCGTAAACAACACGTCTTCACAGCGAGCCCTGGTGACGTGGTTAGCTAACCGTTGCTACTTGGGGGTGTCTTGAGGGGGGCAACATTGGGGACCCTCTTTACTTACCGTTAACCAGCCGTTTGGTGTCATTGTACCGAGCCCACATGTAGGACGTCTGATCCACCGGAGCTGCGGTGGACGTGAACGACCGTGTTTTGACACCGGGCGCACCCACGGGCTCCTTGGGTCCCTTCTTATCCGCAGTCTGGCGTCTGTGAGGCGGCTCGCTGGAGGAGGATGGCACGTCGCCATTCGGCCTGTCGGAGTCAGAGCTGCAGCTTTGTGCTTGAGTTGTCTCACAGCCTTGCTTTCGCACTGTGTACACCCTGCATGTTGTCGAAAGTCTGTTGTACACTTTGGGGGATCGCGCTAGCGGAGGAGTCCCGTGTCCTCTGGTCCACAGTGCACGTGTCACTGCTGCTCCCACTGCCTTAAAAGACATGTTTACTGTGCAAACTTGTTAAAACACGTTTAAAAGCTGCTTCCGTTGCAGGCTGGCACCGTTGGCTTTCAGTAGCAAGAAGATGAAAACAACTGCGTTATCCCGGGTAGACACGCCCCTTTCTTTAGGGTGGGGGAGGGGTCTTTAGTCCCTGCAGCCAATCATAAACAGCCGCTTTGTTTTTCTTTTCCAGATGCATTCAGCGTAGTATGGGATCTTCCCTTGTGCACTGAAGAATATCTTGTAACACATTTTAGTCTTATTTTGACATTTGAAGCAGTGGTGAGAGGCGAGTAAACATCACAAAACAACCTAAAATAGAATAAGAATAAGAAAATACAAGAATATAATTTACGGTGCAGTTATTTGATTCAATAAAAGGCAGCGGCCAACAGAACAGTATGGAAGGCATTCCTGCCATTGTGATGAAAAAATAAAGATACTGTAAGTCATAATGAGAAACCTTCTCAAAATAATGTCTTAGTATCTCATAATTATGATATAAGCATCTCATAATTGGTATCTCATAATTATGACGTAGCATCTCATAATTATGACTTAGTATCTCAAAAGTATGACTTACAATCTCATAATTAAAAGATACTCAGATAAGACACTAAGTCATTATGTTGAGAAAGTTTCTAATTATAATTACTTCCAGGATGTTTATTTTTTTATCATGTTTCCACAGCAGTCTTAATCTTTGATTTAAATAGAAGTGAGAGTTGACGCTGGTCTGCAGTTTATATACAGTATGTTGCATAAAAACTAAACGTTGCTTCTCCTTGTTTAGTTCTGACTCCGGACAGACAGCAGACATGTCCCGGAGGACCTGGAATGTTCATAGCAGTGTGGAGATGGAGCATTAGGTGGAACAAGTGAAATGATCTGCAAACTCGTTGACTGAGACCCAAGACAGGACGGGTAGGGAGGAGGAAACCTGTAAATGTTTAAATGTTTAAATTAAAACTGGGAACTTCACCTTCCTTTACGAATGCACTCTGGCCTCACGGCATCATAGCTGTGATTATTGCGGCTAAACAGATGGAGAGAGAATGCGAGTAGGGCGGTGGGACGAGACCAGCTCGTTCATCTGGTCTTCCTTTCAGTGTAAGAACACGTGTCATCGCTTCGTGTTTGCTTGTAAAAGGTTATCTAAACAGACTTGTACTAATATACTACACAGTTTTATTTATTTTAACTCCTCCCAAGGAGATCTGGCGCTCATCTAACTTCTTCTGCAGGCTGGCCTCCGATACAGGTTCCAGCAGCTACTACTGTGCTCTAGAATCTGTTGCTCCATGCTCATAGAAACAATCTATCAGATTAACGATCTAAATGCTTTAGACTAGAGGTTATGTTTTGAGTGATACTATATTAAGTTTCTATCTTAATGCACTTAGTTCATTATTTGCTTTACTGCATTCTTTAAATTATAAACTCTTTTGTAAAAGAGGTTTTGTTCCGACAGGTTGCAATTTTTTTGTTTAGAGATGGGACCCGTGTATATCATCAGATTTTATCTGCAGTAATTTAATCTTTTTTTCAAATTTAACAAATTGCAGCGGAACATTTGCACATTGCTCATGTCCAAACCCCCCTGGATTGTTTGGTCTGTCATCGAGACATGTAGACAAAAATTGAGCATGCTGCATACTTCAGATGTCAAAGCCATTGCACCAATGATCTGTGTTTGTTTACCTTCTCTCATGTTCCTTACTTCTAGGGAATAAAGTTCCAGTAAGATGCTTTTACCACCAGACCACATGGTTTTAGGAGAAACCTTACCATAGAATGGTAGTATCCTGCTGTATGATCCGATATTATAAACTTCAAGCAGTATTCCAATACTGTGTTTAAACTCAAAAGACCACGATCAGCATACAGTGTTGGCTTGTTTTTATTTTTCATGAGCGGTTCACAAGTCAATGAAAGGAAATTGCACACGCATAAAAAGTTGAGGACCATCCAATGTGTTAATGCGGAGTGTGCACGTCATCCTCTATAACAAGTCACAGACACGGAACGCAGACCACATAAATACAGTTCAGTTCAATTATTATACAATAGTGGTAATTAAATTATACACAAATCTGCACAGAATGAATTACATAGATCAAGGAACCCATTTACAACCTTCGAAGAAATATCACATATTGTTAAAGCATTTCCACTTCTTAGCAAGAAGCTAACCTTCTATAATGTTTTTCATACATGTTCTTGATTTTCTGCGTTCATTATTCATTAGTTCACACTAATGAGTTCTTGAAAGCCGGCATGCAAGCTAAAATATGAAAATATTTACCAAAATGAGACATCACCTTATTCAGTGCTAACACTGCGTCATGAGAAAGTAAATAAAACATACCTTCAAAAATCACAACTACAGTGTTGAAAAGTATTTAGAAAATGTGAGGTCATCTAAAGACAGACAAAATCAAAACCAAGGCACCAAAAATATAAGGAATCAGCAGGTTGTGGCCTCCTCTACTAAACCACAGGACAGTCGAGCTAAAAACAAAATGGATGCAACATTTCGTTGCATTCAGTTCTCATTTGTCAAACGGCTGTTTCCAAATGTTAAAGAACATGATTGGTCTACTACAGGTCAATTCAAAGTGAATATTTAACTGCATTCAATGAGGCAGTGCCAATGTTTACATTTGTGCTGCTGTCCTCACATCACAGCCCCGGCATCAAACTACTCTAGCAGCAACTCGCGCTGGGGGGGGGGGGGAAATCAGCAGATACACGTTTTCTTCTTCTTTGTGTCTTTTCTTTGCAATCCAAGCCTTCTGCTAGTGGAGCTCCTCATAGTAAAGCAATGTCACATTACAGTTACGCCTCTCTTTGAGAGATTTCGTTTTGTGAAATGTATTTATTCTTTCTTTTAAGTCATAATGTGCTACTAGATGCAAAGCACTCTGTAATGCTTTTTGTGTATAATATCATTATTTAATTTTTCTACAAGCAGCGACTCTAACAGCAGCCTGCTAGCACTATTAGCATTGCTAACTAAACGCAATGGATGCTGTAGCCTCAGTGTTGTGTGGGTAATACTAGTTCATTACAACGTGCTTACTTTGGTAGCAGACAAAAACATGGTGACATTAACTGATGGAATACAAAACGTGAGTATTGTGGCTTAGTTGTACAAAGGAGTGAGAGAAGCAGAAGCTGAATGGGAGCTGCTGTTGTGATTATGTAGCCAAGAGAAGTGTGCACGTGTTTGTTTCTGTCTAAACCAAGCCACTTGAATTCTTAAGTGAAGTGAGACTGTCAACAGCCAAACAAGCAGGAAATTACATTATCAGCCAATGGGATGCTTGCAATGCCCAGATATTTCCCAAAAGCTGCTTATTGTGAGAGATGCTAAATGGCTGTTGTAAAACAGCTGCAGCCATTTTGTACGATAGTGAAGGTGAGGTTTAAAACTCACCCCGACTCTAAACAGCAGGAAGCGTCCTGACTTGGTCTGCATAGTTTGCAAAGTAAGCTGCTCATTAAGGATCTTCCAAATCATGAATCTTGATTACTCTGCTTGACCTGAGGTGGTGAACTTATGGCTGATCTATTTCCATCAACTAAATAGCATTTTTACTGACCTCGAGTTAAAGGGGCGCGGATAATGGACAAAAGCCAAAGTGCCAGGCACGTCACAGGACAAAGAAAAGTAATGCAACTGTATCACCAGTGAAAGGGAGGACCCGCAACACAATAGCAAGCTCTCTACTTGTGGGATAGCAACTATGTTAGTAAGGCTGCATTGTTCTGCAAAAACAACTACTCGGGAGAGTTATCACAAGTGATCTAATGGCGTATGGACACTAAAGGATGCCAGACTAAAAGGCAAGAGTGGAAAGACATACAGCCTTAAAAAAAAGAAAAGATCAGAGCCTCAAATCAAAGTCTGAGGACAGTAAATACTGCACATGAAACATCCCTCCTTCTGGAATAAATACTGTCACTGGTTCACCACAACACACAGCAGCCTTGACCAAGACCAGATGGAAGTTGGCTCCACTTGGGACAAAGACACAGTCAATGACTCCACAGAGCAATGAGCAGCACATTTCATCCTCATCCTGCTCCAGGCTGCATGCAGGTTTCTCCGATCCGAGAAAACCAAGTGGGCGGGATGAGACAATCTTTTTTTTTTTTTGTTTTGTTTTTTTTGCTTTTTTAAATCCATGGTTCTGGTGGGTAGACTGGGAAATGTTGCATCATATCTGGGATGTGACAGGGAGCCGGGGAGTCAACATGGAGACAGGTCCTTATGGAGAAGAGGGGGTTTGGAGTGATAGGAGGAGTGTTTCAGCGCTACAGAGACAGGATGACACAGAGACACAAAAAACACATTTAATTCAAATTAAAAAAAAGTAAGTGGAAAAAGATGACGGTAATTAATAAGGATAAATGGATCAATACAACATACAAAAAGAATCAGCAAATTGGGGTCTCCAAACAGCTACATGAGATGTATAAAAAGCAGAGCTTAACCCCGACAGTCTTATTTTTCAACAAAATACTAAAGATTGGTTATCTAATATATAATAGTATGGCTTAAATATTTGTAAAACAATGGATTGCTATTGAAAATAAGTAGATTTAGCATGACGCATAAATCTGCTGGCTACTTTGTCTTATCGCGTGCGGGACGATTTAGAGTGTGAGCTTCGGGGCCTGGCAGGTGTGCCCTGAGCTTTGTTAGCAGAGCTCCTACCGACGCTAATGACCAATTCCTCCGTGGTTCTACTGGAGGAGGTGGATGTTCTGCGCCTAGACTCTCTACAGACCCCGGTCAACCTGCTCCTACCAGGTGGATTGTGAACAGGGAGCGGTGTGGTTGTCGGGGCCCCTGAAGATTTAGCGTTCGATGGCGAAGAGGCCGTGTGTGACTGAAACGTGTTACGACATGTAGCAGCTGCTGCTTGTACAGCAGAATTAGACTTGTAAGTCTGTTTTCTTCTTACTGAAGTATCTAAGTAGGGTTTGAGATCAGGCTTTTGTTGACATTCACCCCATGCTTCAGATGTGTTAGGATACACACACAAGGCTTTAGAAGAGGTTAGATTATCTATGGATGAAGAAAATAAAGAAGACTTCTGCCTGGTGGAGGAGGCCGGTACGACCCGAGTTGTAATGAATGTGTCCTGACGTACAGGGACTGAAGCTCTCCGTCCTGACACACCTTTCCTTGAATCACAGATTTGTGTTTTTTTAACCATTAACTCGCTCTTCACAGAACTGGTGGAGCCTTTACGCGTTGGGGAGTTGCCAGGACTCAACTCTGTGTTAAAAATATCACTGACACTTTGACTTCTGACAAAGGTGGCGTCCCGCGGGAGACCCGTGCCTCTGCAAGACCGGCTGCTGGTCTGGGTGGGGTTGTCAGAACAAAGAGAGAGAGAGGTTCTTACAGGGCTTGTATGGAGACTTCGGGTTAAACCTCGCAGGTGGTGCGTGGCCAACGCAGAGACGCTGCCGCCGAGAACGGGGCTAGCCCGCGGACTGCTTCTCAACGGGGGGCGAGCAGGACTGCTTCGGGGGCTCCTCGGACCCCGGCCTGACTTGGTGGCCAGCTCTTTGGCCCGGGAGCGGCGGGGGCTGCTGTTCAAGCTGTGGGGAGACAGAGGGGCCTCCAGGTCCTCCAAACGCTGAGTGAGAGCCAGTTTCTGCTGTATGGCCATACGCAGCAGAGAATTCAGGGTCCTCTTCTCATCCTCGGATGCTGCCAGCTGCCTCTGCATCTCGTCCAGCTGGGTGACATACTGGTCACACCTGAGAGATTGTACACAGTGAAAAGATGCAACATGCACAAGCAGGCAAAAACTGATTGGTGCACAAATGCAGGGACACAGAACACATATGCGTCACATGAATTATAGTCCGGCAGACACAAACGTTATACACACTGGGACTGCAATCTAAGATTATTTTCATTATTGATTAATCTAGCAGCTTTTTGGATTATTGATGACTTGTTATATTTCAAAAACATCAAACGATCACAAGTTAACCAAAACACAAAGTGACGTCCTGTTTTTGGATAACAAAATTATATAATTTACTACGATGTAAAACAAAGAAAAGCTGGGGTGTATGTGAAGATGACAATAAGAATAGAATTTGACTGGAATAAGATTTAAAGAATGAATACTTCCTTGTCATCATGTAGTGTAGAAATGCACTCACTCCAGATATCCACATGATGGCACCACATAACTTGGTTATAAACAAGAGGATCTATTAGGCTGTCATCTTTAGCCTGTAGTTGTCCTTGACTATGTCTGTTCCCCAATCCTACTAAAGGATCATCAAATGCCAGCTCATAACTGTCTCATAACTGAGATGACCTACACAGGTAATGCACGTCTAAAACGCTTCTCTGGTAATTAATCAACTAATTTTACAAAACAATACAGCCATTACAAAACAAGAAAAAGAATAATTAGTTCACTCACAAACCAATACAAAAACACTCCAAACTATTATCCAAGCAAACGGATTCCCTGAAGAGGTTAGTGATTAGTGAGTGAAGTGTTTGTAGCTTTGTAAGCCTTGACAGCACTTTCCCACCCTATTAAACATCCCACCCATCTCCCGCCGACATCACGCTTCTCCTTCATTAAGGTAACCTGGCCTGATGGGACAAATCTGTTCTCGCCTCCTCCCCCATCAGCACAGGGCAGAGCATGTGGTTCATAATCTTCATGTGAACCGGTGGATTGTCCACAGGCGTAATGAGCACGGTAAGCTTATTACATGACAGACGCTGTGCTACAACAAGAGCACCATTACTAAGCATGAAAAACACTAGCTAAGAGCAGACAATCACAGCTAATTAACGTGTGTTGGCTCACATGTCTACATTGCCACAGGGCAAAGTAAATACAGGTCTTCTTTTTCTTTTATAACACAGCTGCATATAATGCTTACCTTTTTAAAAAAAAAAAATATACATAAAAAGGACAACTTACCGACTGGCAAACATGACTCGCAGTGAAGAGAAGGTGGCAGCGTCCTCCTTCAAGGCTTTGAGCTCGTTCCTCAGTTTCATCATGGTCTCCGACACCATGCTCTTCTCCGTCTCGTACTTAGTTTTTAAATTGGACAGAGCCAACTCTGCTGTCTGCATTGACAAGCAAGACGATTGCACTATTATATAATACTGTAGCACCATCATTCCCCTTAAGAAGGGGTGTTAAAATGCATATTAGCATGCATGAAGTGTATAGAATAAACATGTATGTACCCTATAGACAAAAACACAGCTATGTTAAGCCTTTTTACATATGTGTGACTTGAATGCAATCAACAATACCAACATTTTCAGTGTTGATGTGCGTGTGTGTGTGCACGCGCGTGTGAGAAAGGGAGTGTGACAGCTAAGGGAATGACAGAAGCAGGTCAGGCGGTGCTTGAGCCACAGGAAGGGGGAGGAGAATTCAACCTCTGAGGAGTGCAACATCCCACTGTACTCAAGGTGCAGAGCCATGTAAGCCCGAGGAAATGTCTAGACACCGATGATACAGGCCAACCAGCCTGCTTATGTCAAGGTTATGTGCCATGTGTACCAAGAGAGCTGTTCTCAGGATTACTACTGTGTTACTAGACTAAAACTGTTTTTAAAACAGTGCAAAGAGATCAACAGGGAACACTGTAGCGTAGCCAGTGCTAGACCTACCTGTTTATTAGCCTTGAGGACAGTCCTGAGGGTAGCGATCTGTTCTCTCTTAGTGCTGAGAAGGGACTTGAGTTTTAGTACTTCTTCCATTAGGCTTTCAGCATCGCGCTCTGACTCTCCGCTGCTGCTGAACCCCGAGTAAGGCATCGCACCCCTCTGACGACAGAGGTCCACTGCCACCTGAGAGAGAACAGATAGTTAGTCATGAAAAGGGGTTTAACGGGTTTGTTTCACTGGCAAAGTAAACGTTTTGTCAAAATCTTAGCATAGTAAAAGTCTTTTTCTTGTATATTGGATTTATTTTTTATACATACAGTTATCAACAATGGCCAAAACCAAGTAATGCAAAATGTATACATTTCTATCTAGGTTTTCTTGACAATACTGTTATTCATCTATCTATCTTATTCATTTATATGCGTTTCAAACTGTGTTTCACAACATAAAAACACAAGTTCCCAGTGTTCCAGACTCTGCTGTTTCTGAGAGGATTCTCTGTAGAGAAAGCAACAACTCAACTTTGTCCCCTAGTAATCCAATCTATTCAAACACACACACACGTCAACAAATCCCACACGAGGTGTGGGATTTGAATTAACACGGGAGCTACTCAAGTACTATAAACAGTTGGAGTTGAGCTTTAGTTTCAGCAAGAAATGTGTGAAGGAGGAAAGGCCTTCGCCCAGAACAAAAGCCTGGCTTTCAGTGATCGAGTTAGATCATTTGCACTGGTGTGTGATAAGCATTGCGGTCTTACCCGGAGGTGTTTGATCTGGCAACGGATGACCGCTACCAAGTTGCAGACGTTTGAAGGGTCCCTGAAATCCAGGGTGGGGGATCCGGGGCAACTAGGAGAGTCACCGCTGGCTCCTGCACTGTCCACCTCCCCCATAAACTGCAACACTGAAGCTTTGGAGACGAACGCATCATTGGCTCGCGGCTTCTTCTGGGAGTTTTGCTGGGGGTGGGCGTAGTACGATCTTCGTGCACTACCTCCTGCGAAACTTGCCCTGGCACCATCGCGGTAATAGTCCAGGGTGACGCGCTTGGGCGTCAGGTTGTTGCACACGCAGATGTGGTGGTAGAGGTTGGACAGCTCCTCAGAGAAAGCCAGCAGCTCTTCCTGGGCGACGCTCAAATGCCCTTCTGAATCAATGGCTACTTTCCTTGTGGCTCCAATCTCCTTCTCCAGCTCACTGATGCGCTCTTGGTCCTGCTTGCTGGACTTGATGCATTGACGGATCTTGTCAGCCAGCTCCTGGGCCTCTCCCCGCCATCGATCCTTCTCCTGCCTGTACCTGTTCTCCAGTGTGTTGTAACGAGCTCCCGCCTGAGACAGTTCATCTCGTAGCTTCAGGAGCTCTTCGTTGGCTGAACGCATTCGCGCTTCCAGCACCTCCTTGCTCTTGGTGTCTACCTCATAGTCAAAGACATTGCTACCGTCTCCGTTCTCCGTCTCGTCGTCTGCCCGGTTTCCTGCCTCGTGGCCGTGCTGCTGGCTGCTCTGCACAGCTTCCAGCTGTTGCGTGAGAGACCCAACCTTGTCCGCTTGCTGACTGAAAGCCTGTTTGGACATCACCAGCTGCATCTGCAGTTCCTCCACCTTGCTAATCAGACTGGACTTCTCTCGTTCTGCCTGGACTCACACACATAAAAAGATGACAATCTTTGTATGAGCATACGTCTTAAATTCGCTTAATTTACTGCTGTTCATGAGTTGAATATCATCCATTTCTGTTCACCAAAGGGCCAAAACTGATATATTCTCCTTAAAACAAAAGGGCAGTTCTCTTTAACACAAATGTCTCTCCCCACCACCTTTACTCTTAATGCATTTTTTATGTTAGACAGTGGATGACCCCATTCAGCTCCACACCCAACATCTGATGGGTAAGAGCTCGCTAACCCAACCCCCGGTTTAAATGCATCATGAATAATATATGTCCCTCAGAGGGGTTCAAGACATTCTTAATTCTCCCAAGTACCCTAAATCTGTGAGGGAAAACTGTATCAGGTGGGAGTTCACAACATCGCTTGGGGAAGTAGATGATGCAATGTGGTGCCAGGTGTTGTTTTTTTTATCAATATAGAAAGGCTCGCTCCACCAACATGCAGGGGATGTGGTTTTCAAGCAGGAAGCGGCAGACATGCCCCGTCAATAGCTCAGACACACAAACCGATGTCTGACGACTTCACTGCTCAGCCTGACTAGAACAGATACTTTCATCTAAATATAAATATAAAAGAATTTCTGTATATACTGTGTTCCCTGTTAAGTCTTAGCAGTAGAGAACAGGCTACTATTAAGTTCTCACAAAATGACACAAAATTTCCTCTGGATTCAAATAATATAACAAGTAAATACTGCCCCTATATCTTTTTGTGGGTTATCATTTTTACTATTTATTTTCTTTTGAGCACCGCCATAATTCAACCATTTTAATACACATTTAAAAAGTGTACCTGTAAGAGTTGCTGTTTCAGTTTCTGGCTGTCTGAAAAGTGTAGCTCACTCAGCAGGTCCGACACCAGCCCAGAGGCGGGAGCACGCAGGAACATGTCGCTGCTGCGTGGAGTGGAGTAGCGTTGGATGAGGCCATTACTTTTGGAGCCCCCCAAGTGAGGAGGGTGAGCAGAACCGGGAGCAGACCCAGGACCATTATTAATGCCACTGTCCTGATCCTCTCCCTCTCCCCCCTGGCCCTCCTCCTGGCTGTCATCCAGCTGCTCCAGGTGGAGCTCCAGGTTCCCCACCGAGTCGAAGGGGTTGAGCGTCAGGGCGGAGAGTTCTCGCTGCAGACAGTTCTTCTGCTCCCTCTCCTCCTTCAGGGCGTCCAGGGCCTCATCCAGCTGCCGCTCTGCTATCTCCTTCAGCCTGGCAGCCTCCTCCATCTGAGCTCGCAGCTCCTCCTGCTCCTCGTTCTTGTGGGTCAGCTCCAGCTTTATCGATTCAAACTCGACCTGAAATGCGGAGCACAATCAAAAGGTCTTCATATGTTGTTTTATCCAACACAACTGGGTGCACAATCAATTAGAAACTCCACTCGTGATAATCACCACCAATTCAAGTTTCTCTTGGAAATGGATACATACAATTCCTTCCACTGTTGTACAGTTTAACTTCTATTTCCATTTAGCTGCCTTACTTAATCTTTACACACCATATTCGTAAAATAACAATACATGTCTATTTCAAAATGTTTTTCATGTAAAACAATATAAAAAGATTTCTGAGGACGTAGAGGCAAGACTAGATGTTATCTTAAAGTCCACTAAAAGATCACGGACACACTAACAAGTCTCGGCTACATTTAGAACTAGTCATGGACCGTTTGTGCTGGCAGAGCTGCAACATACACAGACGGCACATCTGCATACAGAAGCACTCGTCTCACACCCTCAGGAATCCAAACCATGATCTTTGGCTGAACAAAGCCTGCTAAACAAAAAGTCTCACCCATTAACAAGCATTTGAAGCTTATCTGGTCTGTCAGTTTATTCTCAGCTTGGAGCAATACATTCCCAGGACAACACATCATTTCTCAAAGCATTCAAAGTCAACCAGGACAGGAAAAATACTCTGAATTTGAGTGCCCCGCAATCACTTGTAACTCGTAAAATGACTACACTGGAGCCCAGTTGTCACAGTACTATTTACGACAATAATTAGTTATTTAATTCCTGCTGCGTATTGCCAGAGAAATGTTTCACTGGTTGTGATGTCTGGCTCTCAGAGGCAGCAGCCAAATTGGGAATACGATGACAAAAAGAACAGGTGATCGAGACAAGAACAGTTGTGGGAGCTGCTTCATTTTCCAGAAATAGAAACTGGCCTGTGGAGTCTCTTCAAAACTGACAGAAATTTAAAATGTGTTGCATTCAAAGCAGTTTTGCTCTCATGCAGGAAAGGTGAATGTAGTCCACTACAACAATGACTTTATGAAAGTGTACTGAAACAAACCAACCTATGGCACAATGTTCATTAGAATGGTTTTACACTTAATTGCACGTTTCTACAGATTTTATTCTTTATCCATCCATTCGTTTACAATCACAGCCAGGTAGAATGTACATGCATTTGCTAAGGTTGTAGCTTGAGTGATAACTGACCTGGTTTTCCCTGAGCACAGACACCTGTTTTTGCAGAGAGATATTTTCTTCTTCTAATTCACCATTGTCCTGCAGCTGGCGCAGCTCACGTACTTTATATTCCTTCATCTCATCCCTCTGATGGCCCTTTTCAGCCTCCAGACACTCACACTCCTGTAGAAAAAAACAACCCACTGTCAAATCAGTGCAAACATTAAAATGGAAGATTTACTAAATTTAACTTTGGGAATGAGTCAATATATCCAACAGTGATTCAGGGTTCCATCGTATTCATCGTGACAGGACAGGAATTGACAGTATATAGTATAACACTGATGAGCAGGTGTACTGAGTGAGCCGCTCTACCTTCTTTAGCTGGGTGGAGACCACCCCCAGCCTATCAATCTCTGCATGGGCATTGCTCAGTGCGAGGCGCGCTTGCTTGAGCTCTGCCTGGACTTCATCCAAGCGTGTAGCCATGGCAGCCTCCTTAGAGGCGGTCTCCTGCAGCAGGTTCTCTTCCCGACACTCTCCATCAGCCGCTGCACGCTTCTGGCTGCTCACAGAGTCTGCGAATGCCTTTACACAAACAAAAAAGGGTTAAAAGGACACATTGGAACAACATTCGCAGCGCTGAAAGACAAATGAATTTATGCTGTGCTACTCCTGGAGGCAAGAAATGTAGAGATATTTAACAAAGGAATCATAAACAATCATGTTAACCTGATTACAGGCATACAGGTTGTTCTGGTTTGTTAACAACACTCTAGTCTACACCTCGAAGGAGATGTTGTCACAGCAACATAAACAGATATTAGAGATGAATTATGACCCATTTACAATCCCTCTAAGCAGCGTATAATACATCATTAAAACTACAAAAAAATAAATAGTTTGGAGCCTTGTAGACCAGCTGCTATAATCCAACAAGAAAAGGGATCTGTATCTCCCAATAATGATCATCAATAATCTGCAATTGGTATCGGCGGCGAAAAAATGTGATCTGTAAAAGTAATATTTGCGTTCTGCTTATCTTATGTGCCGATCCGATCCGTGACTCTGATCCGAACCGTGAGTTTTATGATCCGTTGAACCACTAATAATGATGCTAATTCATAACACATGAGGCCGCTCTGCTTTGTTAAAACCCTGCCAAAGCCTCGGTAGGTAAACAGCCAACATGTGAGGTTTATGCAGATTATAAAAAAATTGCTGAAATTCTGTACCACTACGTACCTTAAGACATAAAGCGCTTACGACCAGTTGTGATGTTATTCTGGCACAAATGAATTGCTAAATATCCAACTGCTTGTGAGCAGGATTTCAAACATCTCAATTTAAACAGGTGGATGGAACATTTGCAGAACAAAAAAAACTGCCCACATGACAGGATTGCATTTTATGGGATTACTTACTTTATACATAAACAAGTTTTAAAAAGCCTGTTTCATCAATACTAAATACATTCATGGGGGGGAATTAAAACAAGATACTGAGAAGCACAACATACTGAGGCATATGTCACAATTTGTCTGTGAAAGGATGGATTACATGAAATCTGAGTTTTGACACACTGGTCTAATAATTTTAACTTGAATATCCGGTGCTAACATAATTCAATCCTTAATGCAATGCAGCATCAAATATCAGTGTAAGATGAACAGCAACGGATGTGCTGACTAATTGGCTGTTGAAGCTGTTAACAGTGTTCCTGCATCAGCATCAGATGACATATTGGAGCAAAACTGACTCAGCGTGCGATCACAAGCCTCTTCATTGAAAGTATAACAAGAGGTCACAGCTGTTAACAGAACCGTTACTGTGGTAGTAGACTGACGAAGTTACCCAAATGCAATGAAGGGATAAGCAATCAAGTTCGTGTCATAGTCATATGGCACATAATAACAAGAGAACAATGATATCCCACAATTTTGAAATGTTATACACTTGCCTTTTGTTTTCAAATCATTCAAATTTCACTGGGTGGTTACTTTTTTTTGTGGTGTGACAAACTCCTCACACATCTATATGTGTATATATTCTGCTTTACCCAGAGGCAGCACAGCTAGATAGCATTTCAATTTGGACTGCATTTGCATTTTGCCATCAATGTCACATGACTGCAGGTAAATCTACAAAACCATTTTTGTACAATTAGAATGCAGGTGAAAGATAAAACATGTGGAATGTTACTGTTCCATTGCATTATGTTTAATATATACTGCAATAATGCAACATTCGCTTGCACATTTCTCATATACAAAAGGTTTACAACCATTATTGTGTTCAATGCTGGGGAAACAAGAGCTTCACAAGCGTAATGTTGTCTAAATATAACTAGAAGGCCTTAGGTGTTCCTACCTCTCTGAGCTGCTGTAGCTCCCCTTTGAGGGTTTCATACTCCTCTTCCAGCTGCCTGTGTTTCATCTTGAGAGCCGCACTTTCCTCCAGCACCTCCAGGCCATAGCGGGCGGCCTGGAGCTTTTCCTCCGTGGCCTCCTGGAGCTCCAGGGTCAGCCGCACCACCTCGGTATTCATGTCTTCGCTCCCCATCTCGACTTCCTCTCGCTCTACTGCTGCACCTGCTGGGTCTGCATCGGCCTCCAGCATTCTTGCTTGGCCTCCCACTCGCCAACGTTCTACTGGGACAACTGCCTCCTTCACTCCCCCACTCTCATTACTCCACACTACAAAAAAAGGCAAAAACACAAAGACGATGATTATGTATCTAAACCCCTTAGAACAATGGCCGGTAAACAGCATAGGGCGAGATTAACTTGGGGATCGGCTGAATGAGAAAACTCCAATTTCAGCACAAAAAGCCAAATCCAAACCATAAATCAGCTATTGTTGCAGTTTGTAAATATGTAGTTGGCAGATATAATTAACAATTTGAACCTACAACTAGCACATTGCTGATATTCTCCTTTTTAAATTGACACTTAACCCATGGGATCTATGATGAATGCTCAACCCACCGCAGTTAAAAGGCTGGTGCTATTAAACTGGCTAAACATCAGCTACATTACTGTTACTTATATTCGGAATAAGCTGATAGCTAATTTTAGCTGCATGGTTATGACAGCTGGTCGAAGTGTGGAGACGATATGGATTAAGGTTACTTTTACCACCCTTATTGAATGGGTGTGGCTGAACTCCCCCTATTTCCTCTCTCCTCATGTCCTCTCTCCTCATGTCCTCTCCTTTGACCGAAGATGGAAACGCCAGCCGCCTATGTCCGGGTGCCAAATGATGCATCCCATAAGCATCTGTCTCTGCTAGTCCTTCAAACTAGCATCAACTGCGTATAAATTTAAGGATGTAACGCTAACATTTTTTTCATCATACATTCTCACCCTTAACGTTGATTCTAAAGTAAGCTGGTATCTTCAGTTAGATGGTGAATATTATACAAAAACTAAGACGACACCGGCCTGACAGCTAGCTAGAGTAGTTTGAGCCTAACGTAGGTTAGCAAGCGACAGCACAACGCTACTAGCAAAGTCGAGTTGAAGAGTATTTAGCGAAAGCTAACTTCTTGGCTTTGTAACTGGTTAAACTTACACAGGCTTAGCGGAATAGACGACATCACATTACACGGTGAGTAACGTCAGTCGAGCTAATTTAGCTAACGCTAGATTGCGAACATTAGCCTCAACTTGCCACTTACCCTCTGGTTTTGTTTCAAAAGATGGAGCTCAGCCGGTTGGAAAGCAAACGTTCACCACTGCTGCTACTTCCTCCAGGAACTATCAATGGTTGCTAATCACGATAGTAGCCACCGGTACCCGTTACCAGGTTCCTGAGCAGCCGCTTGCCTTCCTCCCACCCGGTTCTCTGGTTTCACAGTGAGGTCTGGTGTCAAAAGCGCGCCGAAAAACGTGAAAGCACAATTACCCCCTCTAGCTAGGCAAAGGCGCAATGCATTACACCAACATGTTTTTGTATTAAATTGGATAAAGCCTTTGATGTATATTCAGACATGAAAAATAAGATACTAATTCAATAAATATAAATATATATATTTTATCAAAAAAACACGAAATTAGAGAGAAATAATGAAAGATTAGTAAAGAAATTCACTTCCGCTCGTGCCTTTTTTTGCTTCCGTTTTACTTCCGGGTGTTCACATTGTTGTCTGACTACAGTGTCAAAAAACGGTAAAAGATAATTGAATCACAATGAAGATCGTTACCTGGAACATAAATGGCATAAGGACTTTCAGAGGCGGCATTAAAAAGGCTCTTGATTCACTGGACGCTGACATTATTTGCGTCCAAGAAACAAAAGTGACAAGTAAGTGGTGTTTGGGGGACAACGTGCAGACTGTCGTGTAGTCTAACGTAAACAGTCAGAAGTCTGTGTTTTGAGAGGAATAAAAGTTAAACCTAAAAATGTGTTCCCCCACAGGAGACTTGCTTGATGAAAGAACTGCCATTGTTGACGGCTACAATTCATATTTCAGTTTCAGTCGAGGACGCAGCGGCTATTCAGGTGCATTGTTTTGTCATAATTAAGATCATTAGCTGTTTCTTCCAATTATATATAAGACGCTAGAATAAAAGTGGCATAATAAACTTATTAGAGCAACAGAAGATCCATGTTATTAATGCCACTGCCCATTGTTACACATGCTTTAAAGTTGCTGCAGTGCTGACACACTAAACTGCAGAAACTAATTCACCTCCCTTTCCTGACATGCACAGGGGTTGCCACTTACTGTAAAGACAGTACCGCTCCATTTGCTGCTGAGGAGGGTCTCACAGGTCTGCTGACCAACCATGAAGGGGCTGTTGGATGCTATGGGGACCAGACTGAGTTCTGTAGCGAGGAGCTGCAGCTTTTGGACAACGAAGGACGAGCCGTTATCACACAGCACAGAATCATGTAACGGAAAAAATATTTTAAGGTTTTCCTTATAACATGCTTTTAGCAACTTTATATGCACTAGTATATGCCTTGCAATATTTACTCACATCTACATTTTAGATCGATTTAGAGTTTCTTTTTACTAGAATAATGCAAGTCGTTGGTGAAAACATAACTTGATAAAGACCACGGGGGATTCCAATGCATGTGGAATTCATCTAGTAAAGTAGTTGTAAACTATAGATGTAATGACTCTTTTTGACTCTGTTTTACCCCCACAGGTGTCAGGAGAAAGAGCAAACCGTTACTGTAATCAATGTATACTGTCCTCGGGCTGACCCTGAAAAGCCGGAGCGAAAGCAGTTCAAACTGCAGTTCTACAAGTTGCTTCAGAGTCGCGCTGAAGCAATACTGAAAGATGGGAGGTGAGAGTTTGTGAGAGTGTTAGGAACTTACTCTGTTACCCCCTCTACTCTTTAAAAACATTCTGAGTTAATGCTTTCTCTGTTCTATTTTTCAGCCACGTGATCGTATTAGGAGATGTCAATACATCTCACCGGCAAATAGACCACTGTGACCCCAGTGATAATGTAAGTTAAAGGTTTAAATATGCTTGTTTTTGGAAACATGTGTTTTCAATATCTTGCAGAGAGTAGGAGGAGATCGATACCACTCTCATGTCTGTATGGTAGGTATGAAGATTATCTTAGTTTAGCATTTAAGACCTGAAACAGGAGTTAACAGTTAGCATGGCTCTGACTAAAGGTTACAGAATCCTCCCACCAGTAGCTTTAAATCGCATATTTAAAATATCTGTACAAAAACAGAAGTGAAAAAGTGAAAACTTTCAGTGTATACTGGCCAGCTGTTTCCCCCTGTTTCCCCTCTTTATGCTAAGCTAATTGCTGCCTGGTAATAGCTTCATATATAATGAATAGACATCAGAATGGTATCAGTCTCAGCTGGAAAGCAAGTCAATGTGTTTTACCAAAAGGTCAAACTACTCCTTTAGTATAAAAGGAATAATATAATATTAGATAAAAAGGGAGGCATCAATGCCTCTGCCAAATGTGCGTAGTGTATGCTTATTAATAATAATATTCACGCTCTACCTTCTTTGTTTTTCTCATTACTAAGGATGATTTTGGTGAAAACCCTGGGAGGAAATGGCTGAATGCCTTTTTGCACAGTGGCAGAGAAGAAGAGGGAATGAAAGAGCAAGAACCCAATGAAGAATCAAAGGTAACTTCATCAGATGCCACCCACAGTGGAAAATTCGTGGATACATTTCGCTTTTTCCACCCAACCCGCACCAGCGCCTTCACATGCTGGAGCACTCTCACCGGAGCGCGGCAGACCAACTATGGCACACGCATTGACTACGTATTCGCTGACTGCGTACTAGCCAAGGAGCAGTTTGTGGCAGCAGACATCATGCCAGAGGTGGAGGGGTCGGACCACTGCCCTGTGTGGGGGCAACTGAGCTGCTCTCTCCTGCCCAGCTCCAAGCCTCCTCCACTCTGTACACGCTACCTGCCAGAGTTTGCTGGCAAGCAGCAGAAACTCTCCCGCTTCCTTGTTAAAGTGGACCAAAGATCAACTCCGTCTGAGCAGAGGGATGCATTACCTGGATCTCAAGAAGAGGAAGAAAGGAGGGAGAATTTAAACCCATCCGGAGCGGGAAATGTCTCTGGTAAAAAACGGTCATTAACATCAGACTCTGTTGTCCCAAAGGGGAAAAAGACTAAGACAGTGAAGACTTCCTCAAACCCAAAGGGGAGCCTCCTCTCCTTTTTCAAACCCAAACTCACAAATGCTGCTCCCTCTACCGAAGCCCCTGTAAAGCAGTGTGAAAAAACACTCGGCAAGGACGAAGTAACTTCCTCACAAAACTCCCAAAAAGCATCCTCATCCAGCGAGGACGCGTCCTCGGTCACAAGCAGCATACCTGAAGCTACTGAGCTCGTCTACGATGGTTCACCACAGCTGTGCACCAGCAGCACCTCAGAGGAAAATCATAAACGGATGACGACAAAACCTTCAACCCTACACCCCACTGCGGGACCCCCGGATGCCAAGAAAGGGGCATCCTTAGGGTTTTGGAAGTCCGTTTTTCATGGACCGCCCCCACCGCCCTCCTGTAAGATCCACGGGGAACCCTGTGTGCTTCGTACTGTGAAAAAGGAGGGGCCAAACATGGGCAAACAGTTCTTTGTGTGTGCCCATCCTCAGGGACATGCCTCCAACCCCGAGGCCCGGTGTAATTTCTTTGCATGGGTTGACAAGGGGAAATGACATGTTTACTTTATTCACCACAAGTTGTTTGGTCCGACTCGTCGTTAAACCTCTTGCTCAAACAAGTACTTTGAGACTACAAGGATGTCGTCATTTTAACAATTTGAATTGTTGACTGAGTTTTTATGTCTTTGCTAATAATAATAAAAAACAATTTTCTATAACTTTGAGTTTGGTTTTATTGTTCTCAGAGCTGAAACAATCAATAGGCTTTATTTGTTGATTGACAGAACATTTTTATTGTAATTTTTCAAGCAAAAAAGCTAAATACAATCATTGTTTATTTCATTGTAAATTGAATCTCTTTAAGAGATTTGGACTGATGGTTGCAGAAAATGAGCAATTTGAAGACATCCCGTTGGGAACTGGGAAATTGTGGTTTGCATTTCCCACTTTCCCCTGACATTTTACAGACTACATGTTGTATCAATTAATTATGAACTTAAATGGCAGATAAATAAATCATGAAAATAAGACTTAGTTGCAGTCATACTTGTTCTCATTTCCAGCTACTGTATAAAACATATGAAACGGATGAATTAAAGTGCTTCACATCTTATAGATTTGGTCATCCAAGACCGTTTTTTAAAATAACAGATTCAATATTTAATCATCACACCAGGACCCTGTTGTGTTCGTATAATTCACTGATCAGGGATGTTCTTTGGTACCTTAGTGTTGTCCCCACTAGATGGCGTTGGTAGTGAGCTGATGGTACAAAGCTGAAGCTCAAAGAAATGAATGAAAAGTAAATTTACACAGCAACACATTTTATCTGCTGACACTACCAGCTGTACAGCCACACTATAACCACTGTAATGTAGGCCAGTAAGCAGAGTATTTTAAATCAGGATGTAGTTTTTATTTGTCAGCTTTAGTCATTTACATTTCATTTGAAACATAGCTTGAATATTATATGACAGTGTCCAGATATAGACAGTTAGTTCACAGTATTTCATAAAGTAACAGAGGACCACGTGTGGCCTACTCAGTCTGAACAGGGAGTGGCTTGACTTGTGACATGGCAGGAAACTTATAAACGGGCGCAGATTTACTACTTTCCTTCCCCCATTTCTCTTCTCTTACAGCGGCAGGGAACTTAATGGCTTTGTGAGAAGCATATTTCTGATGTGATCCAGCCAACACGTTTAGTCTTTTCTACCCTGTTACTTCTATCTAGACTGAGGACATCCATCTGTTTGACTGTTACTAGAGTGGTGAGTACCAGAAAAAAAGCGGCAAGCCACTACACAATTTCCCATACATACATGCGGGAAAATACTTAAGAAAATAGTTATCATTGACTCTACTGATAATGTACTGACAGTGGTGATATGGTTAACATTCGTTTCAGCTGGTTTCTGCTCAACGTTTCAGATGAGGATGAATATTAACGCTGTCCCTTTTATGACATGCTGGCAGTTTGTTCTGACTCACTGAAATAGGAGATCATCTAGGCTGTAAATGCTAGCATCACTGTTTGTTTCAAAAAATAACATTTGATGGAGGGTTTTATGAAGACATAATATCTCCTGATTATTTATATTTGACACATACAAGTATATTTATGTGTTCTGGATCTTTCCAGACCACATGACTGAGGGTAATTTAAGGTGACAGAAGCAGCCATGATCTTTTCATTATTCTATTCATCATGATCTGTATGGACCTTGTGGTATTTCTGTTATTTTTTCTCACAAACGGCAACAAATAGCCTGGACGTGACACAATTATCAAAATGTGGAAGTTTTCTTTTTTTATGATGTCCAGCTTTCTAAAAATAAAACAACAAAAACCCTGCCATCTGTGTACACTGCCACTAGAGGAGATCTTAAGAGATTAAAACAAGAAAGAACACAATTTCCAGTGAATCATTGTCATGCCGAGATAAAGAAAACGTGGGTGTTTCTTGGGTGTATAGACAACGTTTGAATGTCAGTTAAGCTGAACTTTATCAGTCAACGGAAATGTCCCTGAGGAGTGGATGACGTTTTAAGCTGAACAAGTAAAAGGTTGAACACGTGTTTCTGTTGCCATATATATATATACAGACGTGGACAAAATTGTTGGTACCCTTCCGTAAAAGAAAGAAAAACCCGCAATGGTCACTGAAATAACTTGAAACTGACAAAAGTAATAATAAATAAAAATGTACTGAAAATGAACTAATGAAAATCAGACATTGCTTTTGAATTGTGGTTCAACAGAATCATTTTAAAAAACAGACTAATGAAAATGGCCTGGACAAAAATGATGGTACCCTTAACTTAATAAAACACCTGTTGACAGGTGCAGAAGTGTCATTGAGAGTTACAGAAATCGCTTGATTGCAGTGATTGCCTCAAAATATTAAGTTAAGGGTACCATCATTTTTGTCCAGGCCATTTTCATTAGCTTGTTGCACAATCACATGTGGACAATCTTAAAAAAGCACTTAACTACTAAGCTAATTACCATCACTGTGACTTCCAGCAGTATGCAAACTGTCAGTGAGTAGCTGCCAATGCTATAGCAAAGGCCCCCTCAGTTGACCCCCCCTTACTACTTGCATAGTCTGTAATGACATGGTAATTAGTCTCCAGTATGAACACCAGAAGCCCTGTTGATTTCATGGGTTGCTGGGATTTCTTGGAGCTTTGAACCGCAGGCTGTCTCTTAAAACTACAGGAGATTCACTTCCTTTGATGAATCACTAGTGTGGACACCTGGCGCGTGGATCCCTACGGTCTCTTTGGAACAGCGGCTGTAAACTGTCGCGGGGTTAAACAAAGGGTTAAATATGGGTGTTTCTATTTCCCGCTCACTCCTCCTCGCCTCTACTCTCTCTCACTCTCTCCTTTCTTCACTACCAAGGAGCTTTGGAGAGACACCTAAGAACAAAGCTATACATAAACATTGGGAGAGTCGGAAAATTGAGTTAACTTCCAAAAGGACGTATTCTGTCAATAATCAGAAAAGAAAACTAGCCTTGTTCTTGAGCACGAGGGTAAGTTGCTAAAAGATGTGTGTGTGTGTGTGTGTGTGTTGTGTTTTAGATGTTGAGGAAGAGAAGGGAAGGGCTAACTCTCAATAGTGAGCTGCTCTTGCATCAGACAGAAGCCATGTGGTACACAACGCTACAGCAATACCTGCTGTGTTTAACTTAAGTTATTGACAAGAGTAGTATCTACATTATTGTCATATTTAGATTATGTATACACAACACTTTGTAAAGGGCATGAGGTAGGTTGTTTGGGGAAAGATCGTTGTTCGGATAGATGTTAAGTGCAGGAGCACTTTTTTACTATTCATTTTTTTACACTCTTTTACTGTTTCCCCTGTGTTGCACACGAGGGCCTTGTTCCAAGTTAGATATGTAATTAACTAGATAGGTTAGTTAACCAGGTTTTGCCTACCTGAGGTTTCCCTACCTGAGAATGCAAAGCATGTCCCATTTGTAAAGTTTGCATTTTGAAATGTGGAGTGGTAATAAATCAATGAAAACTGGCCTGTTGTGAATATTAAATGTCAGAATGTTCCTGAAATTTGCCTGTCGAGTGCATTGGTCGTGGAGCCTGGGAAAGTTGTTTGGTATGCAGCTAAAGAAAGTTCTGCTCACCAAACTTGACCTGAGGCCAGTATACAGGGACAAGGCTACTGTATTTAGTCTAAATAGCAGGGTTGACACAGGAACCCTTTGTTTATCTCAGCCCACTGCTGTCAACCACCAAGCTGTATGAATTACTGTGCGGCCACAGGCCTGTTCATTGGTGGGCGTAGGATAATAATAGAAAAAATCTACTTTTTGGTCTGAAACTCTTAAGGAATGGCACAATGTAGTGCGAGTGTGTCCTTAAGGGTCAGATGTGAAAATCCTGAGGACAGTCTGACCCACAGAGAAGTGAAGGATCACGTGACCCTGTGGCAGCAGCACAGACCCACGCTCATTCCCAGAGTCCGTCCATGCCAGCTTTGTGTGGCCCACAACAGATTAGAGCAACATAAGTCCTCTGACAACATTTGTTATTTAAAGCCTTTCATGTCAAGCTTTAAATGGACTTACATCCCAAGTGTCTTTTGTGAACTACCACAGTGATATCGAAGTTTATGTATGTATGTTTATGAATGTCTATTTACCTCCAGCCAGGTGACAGTTTGAAGAGGATTCTTTCAGTCCGGCAAAGGTAGATCTCTCGAGCCACAACCCCAGCAGCCAGAATGGAGCTTCAGAAAAAAAATGGACACAGCAGGGAAGATGGGTAAGACTCACAAATGAACAGCAATTACTGATAAATGTACAATACATCACAGCAAAAGTGTTGGAAGCTCAGCTCAGGGAATTAAGATATTTTAAATGTGTATTTTTAAAACACTACAGTATTTCTTTGTGGCTCCCTCCAACCTATGATTTTTGTCCCATTGTAGGTTTGATGGGCTGGATGCGTTGACCGAACAAGAGGAGTTTCTCCCACATAAAACTGGTGTCAAGAAACAAACCCGCTTTACAGATGTGAGTGCTTTTACTCAGCTTTAAAAGAAAATGTCCGACTGATTCGCTGCAGTTAAAATCAGACACAGTAACGATGCTCTCGATGACTTGATCATGAATTGGTTTGTATGTGTAACTTCCTCTGTTGTCTTCCTCTTGCAGTTCGAGGGAAAGACTTCATTTGGCATGTCCATCTTTAACCTCAGTAACGCCATTATGGGCAGTGGAATTCTGGGATTGGCTTTTGCAATGTCCAACACTGGAATCGTTCTTTTTCTGTGAGTCTATGCAAACACCAAACACAGTCCTCATTTCTGGCTAAACGTTGTGCCCGGCTGTATTTGTCAGTGTGCTTGTGTATGTTTTTCTACCCACGTAGGTGCATGTATTTGGGGCTCTGTTTCTGCCCGTCTACCTGTGTGAGCTGCAGGTGTAATACTGTGTACACACATACAACAGCTGCCATGCGAAGCCGGATGTGTCAGAATGTACATTAGAGCTCATACACACGCAGCTTCCCTAAATCAGATTTGAGTGGTTAAAAATAGCCGGTAGCGATCAGATCCAAGACACGCCTACCTGGATCAGTGCTGTGCTATGTGGCAGGGGGGAGGAGGAGGTTGGCTGGACTGCCGGTTTCTCAAAGCCAAACTCACAGCGGTGGGGAAAAAAAGAGAAAAAGTACTATCACAAGAAATGCTTTTTAAAGTTTAGTTTCTTAAGATGTTTCTATAGAGCAGTTTTCCCTTCTTTCTGTCATTATTTATTAAGACAAGGAGCACAGTTAAGAAGAAGAACGTTTGTGAGCCCAGCGATACATTTCTGCCATATGATTACTTTTTTTTTAACATGAATTACATTTTCCAAATCTCTGCTCTTGTTTTTGTCAGAATGCTGTTGGTTTCCATTGCCATCCTGTCTGCGTATTCAATTCATCTCCTGCTGACAAGTGCCGGGGTTGTTGGTAAACCGATCTGTGATATTACAGTTTTTGGGCTTTACCACACTGAAAAGACTTAAACCTAATAAAATATGTATTTATTTTATTCTTTTTACAGTGGAAATTCAGTTTTATTTTACTCTGACTCGGGCCCGAAACTACCGCCGTGGTTCGGGCTCGGGTCGGGCTTGGACAGAAACTATGCGGGTTCATGTAGGACCGGGCATGATTCATAGCTCTAGCGTAGGCAGATTGTCGATCCTGCATTCATGACTCATCACACTCATATATGCATAATATTTTTTCAGGCATCCGGGCTTATGAGCAGCTTGGGAATCGGGCTTTTGGTACCCCAGGAAAAATAGTGTCCGGATGCATCATTACAGTACACAACATTGGAGGTATGACCGTCATGCTGTGTACTGAAACATCTGAAGATAAGACGCTGTCGTCCACAGGGTTGTAGTCACTTTCTTCCAAGAGTAGTGATTGTCGCTCTTGTCAAATAAGCACTGGATAGAACCCAAAGGCATAATCGAGAGATATTTTCCTCTAAACTTGCTGGCCAGGATATATGTCTGATATCTTCGAGTGTGCTAAGAGCGACTGTTTTCACTTCCTTCTAGCAATGTCCAGCTACCTCTTCATCGTCAAGTCTGAGCTGCCCCTGGTTATTATAGCTTTCCTCGGTAAACACAAAAACACAGGGTGAGTGTCAAAGTGCTATTCACACAATGATTCATGTATTGTTTCAGTTTTTTTGTTTGGCGATGAACAGATTTTAATTTTTTCCATCTGTTTGTCTCTTAGAGAGTGGTTCATGAATGGAAACTACTTGATCATTATTGTTAGTGTTCTCGTCATCCTTCCTCTAGCACTCATGAAACGCCTTGGTATGTTTTTCATTCTGTCGTCGCCTTTTACTTTCTTTCCTTAATTCCCCATTCTCTCCCATGTTACATCATGTGTCCACTACCAGTTTTCTGTTGCCTTTACTTTCATGTGCTGTATTGAAATGAAAGTACCATCACTTCCAGAATCTATAAATCCTTCTGCATCATCTTATTGTTATTGCATCGCAGGTTACTTGGGCTATACCAGCGGGTTCTCCTTATCCTGCATGGTGTTTTTCCTAATCTCGGTGAGTCTAAACTTTTCGGCCAAAGACACATAGAGTAACACAACCTGTTCCTTCGTCAAATATGCATCTTTAATTAACCAATAAGTGTGTCTTCCCAGGTTATCTACAAGAAATTCCACATCCTCTGTCCACTGGTACAGAACTTAACCATTTCTCATAACTACACTGCCGTTAATGGGATGGACGACGCCTGTGAGGCCAAACTATTCACCGCCAACTCACAGGTCAGAGAAAAAAACATTTTCACTACCTGCGTCTAGTTTCCTGTATCGCCAGCTGTATATTTATTTCATGGTTAGCGCCGCAGATTCACTATCGCATGTTCTGCACTAGAGCGTGTTATATCAACAGCGGGTATAAAACCAGCATTTGATCGTGTTCCTCAGGCCATGTTTGGTGGGTTGCTCACTGACCTTTGGCATGTTTGGCTTTTAGACAGCGTACACCATCCCAATTCTGGCCTTCGCTTTTGTCTGCCACCCAGAGGTGCTACCAATCTACACTGAGCTACGAGAGTAAGTCTGAATGTCGTCATGCATTTCACAAAGTGCTGTGCTATAAAAGTTTGAGTAAAATGAGCATCATCGTTCTGCTTGCCTTTACCCCAGTGCCACCAAGAAACGTATGCAGAATGTTGCCAACGTCTCCATCCTGGCCATGTTCGTCATGTACCTGCTAACGGCTCTTTTTGGTTACCTGACCTTTTATGGTAAGTCACTCTTTACTCCTGAAAGTCAAAGGTCACCTTGTTCTAAAGTTGTGAATGGAAAGATTTTCAAATGAATGAGTGACTTGTGCCAAGAGCCCATATGCATTTTCCAGTGTTGTGAATGAGGAAAGACCACGTGAGATATGTAAAGGGTTTCTCTGTGGGTAGGTAACGTGGGGCCAGAGCTGTTACACACCTACAGCCGAGTGGACACACTGGATGTGCTGGTTCTCTGTGTGCGAGTGGCTGTGCTGGTGGCCGTCTCTCTGACTGTCCCCGTGGTTCTTTTCCCGGTAAGACATCTATCAACAAGAATAATGACGACGTGTGTTATGATTTCCTTTCACTTTTCACAATTTAAAATTCAACAAAGAATTAAAGCCCAAATGGTTCCAATTTCTGTGAATATTTCATGTTTTTCTATTGGCCTTTTTAATTTGCTGATATATCATGAATTGATTAATCAAGAGACTTAAAAATAATTTGTAAAGATTGATGTATCAACATAGAAAAACGTAACTACATGTTGTGCAGAATATAAATACTGTAATAAAAGGGCTTTGCTGCATTATGGTGAATCCTTCTTACAACAAATGCAATGACACGTTTCTCTAAAGAAAAGGTCTGACCTTAATAAGTCTTTAAGATTAAATGTACTCATTTAATTAAAAATTAAAATCATCATTATGAATGATGATCCCCAGTGGTAGTGTGGTAGAGACTTAAAGATAGTGGACCCAGACTTGAGCCATGTGGTACTCCGCGTGCAAGTCTTAATTGCTCGATAGGCCCGAGACCAATTTATAACATTTGACAGTTTTAGCTTTCCTAAATACATTACTAACAATGTTGTCGAGGAAGATCTTGAATTTATAAACTGAACATCATAAGCCCACAATGTTGCTAATGTAGCCTGTACAACATAACCGATGCTGCCAAAGTATGCATGTATGTTTGGAAATAATTCAAGATTTATATATCAAGGCATTGAAAGAGGCCTGTACTGTTTCAGTGCTGTGTAACTTCTAAAGCCAGCTGTTTCTATTTAAATAGTGTGTTGACTGTATAGAGATGTTTTTTTAAAAACATTATCTTAATATAACTTCAGAATGGTCTGTAGATACTAAAGATGACCAGACATTTCAGAAGGTATGTTTTTTCACTTTCTTGTAGAGAGTTAGATGAGGAGATTGAAACCACTCTTATGTCTGTCCATTCAGAGCCTGGCTCCGTCCAAAAGTCAAAAGATGCATCTACAAGAACCACTAGAGCTCAATGAAAACTCATTTGTTTAATCAGTACAAACAACCAGCTGGTGGCTCCAGCTTCGTATTGAACCGATAGATATGAGAGTGGGATCCATCTTCTTCTCTAACTCTCACCAAGAAAGCAAATGGGGGAATTTTAAATGAGGGAATTTCCCAAATTGTTGAAATACTCATTTATTACGGAATTACTGTACAGAAAGCAGACGATGCTGCTGAATGTTTTTCTGTAAGTTGAAACTTTCAAGTATGTTGCACCGCTGGTCTCACTCGTTAGCATATCACGCAGGCTATCGGAGCTTATCCTCCACATGGCATTACGCAACAGCTACTCAACGGTGGTTCTATAACACTCTAAATTTAACCAAGGTGATAAAACAAGATCAACATTTACTTTTAGAATATCTTTGTATATAAATCGGGATGTGTATCTTTTTCTGTAAAGAAGAGCATGACGTCCTCCCTCTTTCCTTCCTCCCCTCTGTAGATCCGCAGGGCCTTGCTCCAGATCTTGTTCCCTGAAAAGCCGTTCAACTGGTTCATACACATCGGCATTGCATTCTGCCTCATCTTTGTGGTCAACGTACTGGTCATCTTTGTGCCCAGCATCCACGACATCTTTGGTGTCATCGGTACGTTTGCGCAGGAACAACGACCGACTGGTTTGGGCTTCGCTGCAAATGTTTACAGTGTGAATTATATCATCCGGAAAACTGTGTAATCACTTAGGCTACCGTGTACAACATTAAATAAACTCACTTCTTCTCTGTTCTCATCCTTCATCTTCAGGAGCCACAACTGCCCCCTGCCTCATCTTCATCCTACCTGGAATCTTCTACATCCGCATCGTTCCTGAAGACCAGGAGGCATTACGGTCCAGACCCAAGATTCAGGTACAACTCCGTTCATTCAGCTATCAAGGATACTTTAAATTCAACTTTTTAATCAAACATTTTAAGTATGTTTAAAGTGTTGTGGATACAAATGTCCTTTTATTTCCTTCCACTCTGGTAGGCCGCCTGCTTTGCTGGCCTGGGAGTCATCTTCATGATCATGAGTTTGTCGTTCATCATTATTGACTGGGTGACTGGGGCATCTCAGAGTGGAGGCGGGCACTAGCAGTTGTGAAGGAACAGAGATACAACAAACAGAATGCCAACCAAAGCACTCCCTGTCATTAAATTACCCCTCATCTACTCATCCAAAGCCAAATAGGAAAGTTTTATTGCACAAGACGAAGGATATGTGAAGAGCCTTCGCCTACTACAACAACAACAAAAAGAAAGCATTTTGACATGATATGGGGAGGACAAAGCAGAGCGATGTGCTCTGACTGAATGAAACCTATGTCACGCCTCATAGTAAGGATGTTGTTTGGAGGCGTGTGTAGAAATGCAAAAGGATGAATGGGAACAGCATGACTCAAATGGAAATCCCATTTTAGAGTATGGATGTGTACAGCTCCTTGGAATAACTCAGTCACTGCCAAAATCCTTCCAATCTACTTCCCCACCATCTCAGACTTTACAGAACAGAAATTTCATTGTGTCGAAAGGCAATCATTTCCCTTCTTTTGCCCACTAACCCAAACCCATCCATCAGTTTTTGTTTCATTATATATTTAGAACTGTAAAATATGCTGGCGTGGTGTTGTCCGAATTCCAACGAACTTCACAGATTCAGCTGAATTTGATCAGCGAGGGTTAGACGGCAGCTCCACACTAACCATTACAATCGACCAAAATACAATTTTTTTATGACTTTTACGTGGAGTTTAATTAATGTTCATGTGAAATGTGTGTTAATATATTCTGAGAAAAAAGTTACTGTTGTAGAAGTGATTATCCTCAAAGCTGCGTCTGAGGGGATTTTTTTTAGAAATAATCCAACAGACACGGTGCAATTTGTGTTCGGCTGCTACCCATAAAGGTCAAACTGACAGTGACTGGAAGTCACATGTGATGTCACAAATCAAAGAATATAATGTTGTGTCACATAGAAATAGATTGTAACACCCTATTTTTATTTATTCTTACTATGTTCAGCAAAGGCCAATTAAAAATTGTACCTGAGAAGATGTTTGTGTTAAAAATGCTGCGTGTGTTTTAGCAGTGTCAGAAATTGTTGAGTATGAACAATAAGGACCCATGGGTTTTAAGTTAAATGGTCTGTTTCTCTTTTGTTTTTTTTGTCTTTAAAATTTGACCAAAAGATATTTTGACTTTGTTATTCATCCTGTGCATTTTTAAATTAATATGAATGTTGCTACCTGTCAATAAAACATGTCTTTCATTTGTACAAAAGTTTTGAGTTGCTTTTTAATCTTAAGTAAAGATGTTCATCCGTGTGGCTGCACATTGAATGTATACTCATAGCAGGAGAAGATCAATAGCGCACTGCCTCCCTCTGAAAATGGAAGTATAGCACATTCATTCGTGCTCTGCGTCTGAGAGAAAGAAGAAAAGTGGGGGTTAGAGAAGTGCGGTTAGTCTGTTTCCTGCTTCAGCTGATGTGTGCGCAGAACACAGAAGAGAAACTTCCTTGACTGTAGAGCTCAGTATTCTGACAGCGCAGCGAGGACGCCTTTTCACATGCTGGAACACATGAATTAAAAATAAACTGGGAGATATATTAGAGGACCATGAGCCGTGGATCTAAAGCTAAACTGGACAGCGTCCGGAGCTCACTGCTGAATTCGCAGGAGAATGAGCAGTTGGAGGAGCTGCTGGGCAGAAGATGTGCTGTAAGTTCTGAGCTGACTTGCGGGGGAGGGGAGGGACGAGGGACGGGGGGGGTGGATTGCCTACCATGGGGGATAATAACCTGCCGTATTTGTTCTGACTTGTTCTGGAAGAGTTTGTTGTAAAAGAGAAAAGACAAGGCCTCCAAAGTAATACAGGTTATTCTGGTTGCTATTTCACAAGGTAAATAGTCTCAGCCCTCAAAACCTCTCCCTCTCTCTCTCTCTCTCTCTCTCTCTCTCTCTCTCTCTCTCTCTCTCTTGGTGGTTAAACATCATATCCTGAATTTAAATGAGCACAGTTGACTGTTGAACGCTGCGCTGAGACTTTGACATTAGCTGCTTTTTGATAGTTTATTGACTTAATTTTTATTATTTTATATATAATCAGGTACATTTCAATTTCAACTGTATAAGAATCTACTGTATGTTCATGCCAAAGCAGTTTAAAATGAATTTCTGACATTAGGTCATCAAAAATAAATGAGGTAGCTGTAACAGGAAATGGTGGCTGAACCATTTCCTGGTGTCAGAATTAGACACTGTAGGTTTAGTCTTACAGTAGAGCAGAAGTTGCTTTGTTCCAGACTTTCTTTAAGCAACTGAGACACGCATTCTGCCAACGGACATTTCCGTCTGTTTAACAACAGAATATCATGACGGGTGATGGAATTTAAAGCACCACACTTAAACTTAACAAATGAAAGCAGACGGGGGAAGTGAATCCTCACCACAAAACTGCATATTTGCATGTGAAGTGCAATAAAGCGCTCTCAGGGTTCCCCATCTTTGCCGAACTGTTATAAGTCTTTTTGTTTTGTGTTTCATCAGTCCATGGCCGCTGCAGTAGCACAGCTGTTCATGGCTCTGCCTCACAGTCCATCCATGTGGAGCTTGCAGCACACTGGAGTGGTGTGCTTCATCAAAGACAACCCGCAGCGCTCCTACTTCATACGGATGTTTGATTTGAAGGTAATAAAGTCTGCCATTTGAGTCCAATTAAAAGGCTGCATTGGACTTTTTAGGCCCATATTAGACTGTCAATCAAATCACTGTGTGTGTGTGTGTGTGTGTGTGTGTGTGTGTGAGAGACAGAGTTACTAAACAAACTATAGCACCAGATTACTCGCATCTTACATGAGCATTGTTGAAGGACTGACATGTTTACCATGTTTCTCCACAGACAGGGAAGCAGGTTTGGGAGCAGGAGATCTACAACCAGATTGTTTACTCCTCTCCGCAGCCGTACTTTCATACCTTCGCTGCGGACGTAAGCACGCCCTCATTTGACCTCTCCCTCTAAGTTACTTCCGTTAAAACAAGCAGTAGGTCACACGTTTTTAAAGTATAGCCCACTGTTCAAAATAAACATTCCTTGTTCGTTCCTCACGCGACGCAGGACTGTCAAGTCGGACTGAACTTTGCCCAGCAGCAGGAAGCAGAAGCCTTCCAGAATGCTGTGGAGGATAAAATCAACCAGAGACACAACCGTCAGGGTCAGTGAGGTCACAGAGACCACTGTAATGAGTAGAATTATATACCAATAATAATAATAAATTAATATAATCATCCATTACCATTTTCATATTTTGTATATGTTATCGGGCACATTTTGTTTGCTATATGATCCTAGAAAGAAAATACTTAAATTAAGTTGATTTTTGTTCTGCCAAACTCTGAAATATTTTACAAGTAAATCCTTTAATACTGTTGATATTTCCATTAAACAGAAACTGGAATACATTCTCAGAGTATAGATAATAATAAAAAATCGACAAAATTATAGTTGATCAATAATTTCTTACACCCAGATTCAAGGTAAATGTTTTAAAGGTATTTTTAAGTGAATACATATTTCATTATGGTGTGTATGTGTCTCAAAATGGTTTCTCTCACCTCCTTGTTGTTGACAGATAGGAAACAGCGCCCCCTGCCGCCGAGTGGTAAGATAGCAATGAACTTCATGACTAAATGATTGAATTTATCTGACATAATATGACATAAGAGTAAACGAGAAGAGTAAAAGTATTTCTCTCCTCTTTTTTTCTGTTGCTGTAGATAGAGGTTCCATGCCTCGACTCCCTGAAATAGGTGCATAACATTTTTCTACTGTAACTTTCCCTCCACCAATGATCCGTGAAATGAAATAATAATGACATACCATCCTGCATGTACTCTGTATCGCCAAGCATCACCTGGCAGCCCTGGTTCTCTTCACATGACCACAGTGGACATCCAAAACCCAGACATCCATACTTCCCGCTACCGCTCCACGCCTCCACCTGCTGCTTCCTTATCTCTGATCAGCAAAGGGAAGAAGGATAAGAAGAAAGGGAAAAAGGGGCCCAAATTCTCCAAAGCAGACATAGGGGCACCCAGTGGATTTAAGTGAGCATTTCAGCCGACGAATGTGTTGCCTTGATGTCACACAGTGAAGTTTAGTTAATATCTAGAGAGGATGCGGCTTGACAGAGTTTGTGAAACTGTGTCTCTTTTGATTTCCTTCCTGTCAGGCATGTTAGTCATGTCGGCTGGGATCCCAACAACGTTGACCCTGATCTGTGGAAGCTGCTCTCCAAAGCCGGCATCAGTGAAGATCAGATGAAGGATGAAAAGACCTCCCAGCTCATCTATAATTTCATCGAGGAGTCTGGAGGCATGGAGGCGGTCAAAAGGGAGATGAACCAAGGTCAGACTCGCATTGCATCATTTTGTTCCTCCCCACAGGCTAATCTTCTAAAGCTTGAATTTAATTGCTATGCATGTTTCCTTCCATTCCATTTCATGTTTCCTTCCATTGCATTATAGCTGGCGGACCTCCACCACCTCCACCTGGCAGACAAGGGCCTCTGCCTCCTGTGCCGGGCTCCTCTGCTCCAAACCCTCCACCTCCGCGAGGCCGCTCCGGCCCCCTGCCTCCCGTCCCAGGCCATTCACCTCGAGGGCTCCCGCCCTCCAACCCGCCTCCTGCACGAGGAGCAGTGCCACCCCCACCTCCAGCAACAAACAGAGGTGGTCTTCCGCCGCCACCAGCGCACTCTGCACCTTCTCACTTCTCCTCACCGCCAAAGTCCTCTCATGTCCCGCCTTCGATCTCCTCACACAACCTGCCTCCTCCCCCGCCGCCGAGCCAACAGCGCTCCATGGGTTTCCCACCTCCTCCTGTTCCATTTGCACCCAGCAGAGGAGGTGGAGGGCCTCCTCCTCCTCCTCCCCCTCCACTCCCCCAAACCTCTATTTCTTCACATTTCCCACCTCCTCCTCTTCCTGGAGGCCAATCAAAACCACCGCCGCCACCTGTCCCTGCACCCGTAGGAGAAGGACCCGGCAGAGGTGCTCTGCTGGATCAGATCCGACTGGGGAAGAAGCTCAAAAATGTAAACCAAACTTTAAGCATTTTAAATGTGCTATACGTATATATATTATAAGAACAGATCAGTCTTGATTGACATGCTGCAATTAATATTTGGTTTGGATGTTTGTAGCAGATGTTCATGTTTAAATTCTGTTGTGTGTTATAGGTGACAGACAGTCCTGATGGACCTACAACTACAGAGTCAGATGAGGGCATCGTTGGTGCTCTCATGATGGTCATGCAGAAGAGGAGTAAAGTCATTCATTCCTCTGGTAAATATTTGAACATTAATTACACCCAACATAAAGTAAGAGTGGAACCAAAGGGACCCACACATCTTTATATTTGTCCTCTCTTTCAGATGAAAGTGAAGATGAAGGTGGAGATGAGGACGAAGATGACGACGAATGGGATGACTGATGTTGACGTTTGTGTGGATTTTGAACTTATGGAAACCTCTTAATTGCAACAGTGGTACAAGTTGAATGTCAAGTATAATAATTACTAATAAAACTGGAATGTGACTTGAGGTCAAATAATTCAATAGAAAAGACTTGAAAGTGAAAGAAAACAAGTTTATGAGAGTTTTGAAATGTTTATATATTTGTTCGAACGTTCCAGTGTAGGTTCATCATAGTGACAGCACTGTGTTACAATGACGGTGAATGGTGGCGCTGACTGGAAAACAAATCTTGTTCCTTACGCTTCCTCTAAAAAGAGCATTTTTTAAAGTCTGTGAATACAGCATATGACAGAACACCAACAACCAATACTAAATCTGAGCCAGTTCCATTCCCAGTTTTATAACAACATACTGGACATAAAAAAAAAATTTCCTTTTTCATTTTCTCATACATCTGTGCAAAGATCCCAAATTCCCTCGAATACCAACACCGACAAAGTGCATAACTGGAAGAACACTGTATGCTATACATATCAACACTCACATACTAGAGCACAAGACAGTAGGGGAGTCATTATATGACAAAACCCAATGGAATTAGCTTAACAGAAAACTTTACAGCATACAAACATCATTACACACCAAGTAAAATGTACAACTTGCAAACACATGCATGCAACATATGCCTTTATCATCATATTAACTTCATACAATACAAGAGTAATCCAATGACCATATATATTATATTCACAATCAATATATTACATTTCTGTTTCAAGATAATTGACAGTACCATACCTGTGGTTCTGCATGTTGAAGCCTATTAACTACGTGCTGCATTTACTTTACATCACATACCATTATCCAAAACAAACATGGAATATGCGATCCATCTCAACGAGCAGTCTAGTTTAGAAAACGCATCTTTGTTGGTGCTCTCAAGGACAATCCAAAAGTTAAGGATCAGTTGACGAAAATGTCTGCTTTTGCAAGATTTATTGTTGGAAATCAAACCTAGAAAACAGATAATAAGCAAATACGGATGTTGTGAAAATTGTTTTTTTGCACTAAAAACATTGATCTTCCACAGTGATTCTCAAGGTGCTGATGCTGGGCTTTTTCCACAAGCACCTGAATAATTTTAAGGTTTAAAACGATCCCTACGATAGGTGATCAATCTTGAAAAAATATTAGGGTCAGGCATATTCATCATGAGAATAAAGTTGAAATTTGAGTATATGCGATGACGCTAGTAGTTTGATTAATTTTCAAAAGTTTATTCTCAAAATGCAAAAAAAAAAAAAAAAAAAAAAAAAAAACTTCTTCCTCTGGTATGTTATTTCTTATGCCTGGCCATAATACTCTTCTGTCACGTCTGTAAGTTGATTTATATGTCAAACTAACACAAGCTGATAGCTGAAAGATGGAAAATGTAAAAATGTACAGTATTCTTTGGGAAGTGGTCACAGATCATGTAAAATATACACAATATGGTATTTTGCAGGCCGACAGTTATAAAACCACAAATATAGTACTTTAGCGACAGCATGACAGCATCACCTGCCTAATAAATAGAGGTGACACACAAACATGCATGTCAAACATAAAAGTCCACCATAAAAGTCCACACAGGCCAGTGTAGGACAGCGTCCGTCCCTTCCTCTAGCCGAGGCCTTGGTCCTGGCCCTCTGTGTGCCTCCGGCTGGTTCGCTTGCGCTGCTGCTGCTGTTTGGGACTGAGTTGCTCCCAGTAGGACTGGCAGTACTGGTTAATCAGTCTTATCTCAGGCGGGAAGGGTGTGGAGACGATGGATGACTGTTGGTGAGGTCCCGCTTGGAGAGTCTTTGGCGCGTCCTCATCTTGAGCAGTGAGAGCTAAAACGATGTCTCGATCCAGGATGCGCAGCGCCACACGGACCACCGTGTGTTTAAAGTTGTTCTCAGTGGCGAGGCAGTGGTAGAGCCCCGCGTCTGATTGGTTGAGAGACTTCAGCAGGATACCATGGTTGGTCTTCAGAATACCTCCCACACGGGTGAGCTGCACAAAAGGGAATGAAACAGCAGGAGTCTAAGAGAGGGAAGTTAAAGTGTTGCTGAGTGTTTGTCGCTGCTGTATGGTAGCCTCTGACACCAGGGTATGAATGTGTATGTGTGGATGCTGGCTTGTGTTGTAAAGTGCTACGAGTAGTCGTCAAGACTAGAAAATAACTCTATAAACGCAGTCCATTTAGATTTTAATAAATACATTTATTCACGTTCTTGCTGAGAATTAGATGAGAAATTTAATATCTCATATCTGTCCTGAAAAAATATAAAGCTGCAGCCGGTAGCAAGTTAGCTTACATTTAGACTTATATTTGCGGGACAGATACAAGAATGATCTTAATATTCTCATTTAACTTTCTGCAAGAATACAAATCGAATTTCCCAAAATGTCAAACTATTCCTTTAACATTTCCCAGAATGCAACTGCTCTTCCTCACCACTTTCCTCTTTCCTTCCCTCTGGAAGAGCCACTTGACGGAGGCCTGAGGGGAGCGAGGCTGACACTCCAAGAAGGTGCTGCTGCCCTCCACCCCAAACTGCACCGTTTCTCTTAGACGTTTCTCCACTAGACAGACAGAGAGAGAAGTAATGGTGACAACTGCTCAAAACAGAATTTGATGTGTGCCTGAAAAATACACAAATAAAGCCACACCTTTGGCGTTAAAGCCCCTGCACTGCCTCAGTGGGTCACCATGTTTGACATCCTGTCGTCTGCTCCTCCTGAGACAAAGATCAGCATTAAGAATTACGTTTACGCACACATCAACACAGCACTTTATAGTTTAAAAATAATGCACTGTGGAGATATGAGACGCCCCTGACCTCTTGGTGGACGGAGTGAAAGCAGAGCAGCTGTCTCCATCCCAGGCACAGTAGGGGTCTCGAGCCAGACAGCAGTCAGAACAGGCCCTGCCGTACACACCACAGCGGTGCAGCGACACCTGGGTCAGCCCCGCGTCTGACGACACGTACAGCTGTTGCTGTCGTGACAAAAATATAAATGAAACGAAAAGTGTGATTGTGTGGTTTGGTTAATGCACTGAAATGTGAATTTGTCTGTATGAAGAGTTAGCTTACTCTTTTAGAGGATATCTTCATTGTTTTGACTGGAGCTCTTGACTGTAAATCAATAAATAACAAAATCAAAATAAAACCCTTTTGAGATTAGAGTATTTTTGTCTTTTCAGGACCACATATTTAGACATACCCGGAAAACCTCCACTTCCTCTAGAGTCAGTTCCTCCATGCTAGTTGGGTCCTTCGGCAAAACTATAACTTTTTGGACAGTGCCTCGATCTAGAAGTGAAAGAAATCATATTTAAGACCTATATTTCTTTTTTTGCCAAACTAATCCTCAAACCAGACAAGTGCCGTGAGTCCTGCAGCTGTCCCACCTGTCCCCAGGAAGAGCACCTCGTAGCGTCCGTCCACTGCATCCACCTGATCCACCACCAGGGCAGTGAATCGGTAGTCCACGCCGGTTCTCACCACCAGGGGACGGCGGTGGATGGGATAAACTGGATGGATCATGAGGGGATGGGCTCGGATGAAATTCACAGCCTCATCTGAAAAGTTCTTGGAGGAACGGACACCAGGAGTGAAGGTTCCTCCTGGACACTGGATGGGAAGAAGGAAGAAGTGGGACAATGATGTGGTGTCTTTCTTTAGATGCAGATTTAGATTTCACTTTGGGAGATAACATGACTGAAACGTACCGTCCCGGGCCGTGGGTAGGGAATCTTGCCAGTGTACTCTGTCCATTGGTAGTTATGGCCATGTTTGTGGGCAAACGGTCCATTGAAGACATTGCGGATATCAGCCATTGAGTACACGCAGACTGCTGAGCCCTTGAACACAGAGCTTCAGCAGAAACAGACCGTTATGGTAAGAGGGAGAAGTTGGAGGCAGCTTTCGCCCTATCCCCTGATATTAAAGCATGAATCATCCCAAAAAAATGTGAGAAAAAGTTCTATGAAGTCAGTTGAGGTGTGAATTTATCAAACAAGCCTCCAAAAACAACTCACCCCGCTGTAGTGAAGAGAGCGTACACCATCGGGTTTCGCTCATCCTGTGTGGGCTGAATAAACACATCCCCTGGAAGAAAATCAATAACTCAACTTTAAAAGCAGTTGCAATTAAAATGCTATCAGTTTATACTCAGCGGTCATTTTATTGTGGCCTCACGTAGTTCATCAAATCGTGTCTCCACTCCATCTTCCCCTATCACTGAACAGATAAGGCGAGCCTTCAGGAACGTCGTCCAGCGGTTCACCAGGGACTTCTGGCCTCCTTCATCATTCTAGACAGGAAGGAAATTAGGTCACAGCTCAATAAGCACAGTGCGCTCCATATCACAAGGTAAGCTGCATATACTACCACTACACATGCGACGTGGTTTGGCTCACCAGACACACTCTTCCCACCCTGGCTAGAACGCTGGGGCTCGCGCCGCCGCTCGAGTCTAGACTCTTCTCTCGGAAAAAGAAGTAAAGCTTGTCGTCGTTCCTTTCTGCACTGTCAGGGATCTTCTGGATCTGAACAAACACAGGATCTAGAGGGTAAAAAACAGATATGCGGAGAGAGGATTGAGGCAAGTGGTTGTCAAATAATATGAGAGGAACCATAAACTGTAATCAACAACATTTACCTCCTCACACCCACACTTACTCACCGTTGAGCCACCTGGAGTCGTACTGCTCCGTCCTGATAGCTGTTCTCCCTCCCATGGTCCTAAACAGAGCAGCATCTGTACTCATGAAGTCAATATGGACCCCTGCATAGAGGTTACCATCTGCAGGGGGGGGGGGAGGAAATAACAGAATAGAAAGGTGAGACTTTTTGCAGGGGAAGGAATTTGATCAGATTTAATGCTTTTTGTTCTAAAAATGAAGTGCGTCTTACCGATCAGAACTGCAATGTTCTCCTGTTTTGGATCGTAGGAACATTTTCCCTTCCCTGAATCCATATACCCAGGGACCAGCCTAAACAGGTAGTCCTGCAGGGAAAGTATGCATAAAAATAGATCGCTGAAAACGTGACATGGGAGTATGGGAAAATCACAAACAAATCAGTGTCCCAGTTTGTAGTCCTGAAATATTTATTAGGACAACGCTTCCCAGGCCGACTGCTGAGGGATGTCTGCTGTAAATCCCACTCGGGGAACTGGAACTGTCTCTGTGTTCACCTCTGCCCTCCAGCCTCTGTTGATGAATGTGCAGATAGGCTGGTACGCCCCCGTTCCACAGGTGTAGAGGTGGGTCCGGTTCCACGGCTCTATCAACCGCACAAAGTTGGCACATTCACCCTGGACAAAGAGGAGCGAGACAAATGCAAGTCAAACATCTTCGTTGTCATTGTCCCGTCTTGAGACTCGGTTTTTTTTTTTATTGAAAGAACAGGATGTGAATACGTGATCCCACCTGTTTTCCCTTTCCCGTCATCTGACATTCTCCCTTTCTCTTAGCAGACGCTGGCCAGTGGATCTGTAATTTCGGGGAAAAAAGACTTAATGCCACGTACCAAATAGCAGACTGGGTTTCTGAAAAGGCTAATCGATTGTTTGTACGCACTATGAGTGGCTCCTTGTTGACATTGTGCATGTCCAGAGCCACCAGGTACTCCCGGCTGCCCAGGTACAGACGGCCCTGATCCTGATCCATCAGGAGGATGCGGTAGTCACTGGTGTTGAAGGAGAAACTGAAGGGCCGCGCTGCCCTTGTGTCCATCAGTTCTGTGTGAAAAGTTTTGCTTTGTTAAAAAAAATAAAAAACACACCATCTTCACCATTTGGAAAACCAACAGCAGGGGGAGCAAAGGTTACCCCTCAAAATCTAGTCGCATTATTCCCTTTATGCCTTTAACATGTTTCATTACCGACTTGGATGAACCCACGGTCCCCTGAGCAACACGCCTCACACTTCTTTTCTGGAAAATTTGTGTCACTGATTAAATATAACCCAACTTGGAGCATTTTAAGAAACATATTTGCTTTTAAGATCTGAATATTTTATGTGTCCTGACTGGCTGATTGAGTTTAAGGCGCCACACGCTCTGCAGAGCTAGACGAAAAAGCACCTCCCTTAGGAAACAAGGTCAGTGGAACTCAGAGCTAATTCTTAAGATCAGGATTGGGTTTAGCAGAGCGTAACCTGTTAAGACACGCTGCGGTGGAAAGTGTTGCGCCTTTTTTTTTGTTCTCCTGAAAGCTTTGATTGAACAATTTGCATCCGCCTGCGTGACAAATGGACTGCGTGCTGCACTCTACCTCTGAATGAGAGTTCTTTTCATTCTCCCATCCACATAACAAGCAACAGACGCATCTGTGGCATCATGGGTAAAATATTGACCGCCATGTGTGTTCACACTGGGACACAGCTGAGGCATGTCAAAGACAGCAGGCTTATATATTGACAAATGTTCCCACAGACCCTCAGAAGCCAGCTTACAGGGATTCAGGAGGAAGCACAATCTTTATTTACATCAAAGCGCCTGCCATCCTTCTTTTTGAGGTCAATGTTAACAGGATGCAGCCAAGGTGCCTAACTAAAATAAGCTATGCAATCGGATCTCCGGACGACACGAGATGGAGCCGTTCCGGTCCGGTTCTGTTCCCGAGATGTAAACACAGGATAACAAGCCTCTGGCCGATCCTCACCGGGGCCCATGGTGGATTCACCGAACGGGATAAATGTAGAAACACCACACCCCTATACACGTCTCCATGCTCCCAAAATAGCAAACAATGCACTGCCATCATCTGGTAAACATTCAGCAAACACTTATCCCCTGACAACATTCTGACAGTGATAGGGAAACACTGGGAAGGACATACGATTCACGTAAGCTACTACAAGCCACTATAAGCTCTCATGTTACAGCTGGACTACATATTGTCACTAAGGCTCTAATGACCGCTGCCGTTTAGTACCAGGCAAATCTCAAGTATGAACACACTGGTGACAGCACTGAGAGGGCATGAACCTTCTAAAACATGGCTTCAATTACCATGCACGTGTTGCTCTCTAGCAGTGCTGACTAATTCTATCAAACCAGACTCGGCCAGTCCCTTTGAAGTGCGTATAACTGACACGACTTCCCAGCGACGGAGGAAGCAGTCTGAGATCTCTATCCTCTGCGGGCCTCCTGTACCCCCCCCCCCCCCGGTTGTCAATCAGGCCGGCTCATTCGCTCAGAAGAGTCACATGTCCTCCAGCCGCCCCAAAGCCTCCTCCACAGGCGCCTCCGGGAACAAAGGGACTCGGTGTCACAAACAATGAACAATAAATCCTTGGAGTGGGAGAAAACAGTTTGGAAGTAAATCCAACTTTTTTTTTCTTTGGTATTAGGGGGAGGGGTGGCTGAGGTCTGTGAATGTGGCTGCTTTATCTTCAAAAATCGAACCAAGAAACTAATAATTCAGCACCTCTCTGCTGCTCTAAACAAGCACCCGTACATACATTTGTCATGGAGAGCTCTGTGCGGATGTGAATTCCTGTATCTTAAACTGGGAAGGACCACGATCAAGGTCAAGACCAAACTTGTGTTATTAGTCAGACTACCACTTTGTGCACCCTGCTACAAAACAAAACAACACACTGGCGTGTATAAGCTGTTTACTGCAAGTGGATTTGTGTTAAAGGTCATGTAAAAATGCACCATAATCACTCTCTCAAGCCTCAAATGGAACAGACGCCTTATACGACAGCCACAAACCCAATGTAGACAGCTGTTTTCAGTCTCTGCACTGCATGTAGACTCCAAGTCCCAGATATCAACCACAGATCTCATGATTAGCTCGCCTCTAATCTGCGTCAGATGTCTCTCGTTGTCATCGTGCAAAATCAGACATGTTTTCTCATTGAATCAGTGCAGTTGAAGGTAAGACGGCAAACACGTCGACGCCGCCTGGACCTGCGAGCAGAACATTTAGACTCTCCCCCCACATGAAAGCGCTAAAGAATGCTATAAATCCCATTCACACCACAGTAATTCCTACCTACAGGTACTTCAGGTGTGACGCGTGTGTGTGCACGTTCACATGTACAGGTGCACTTGAAGTGGCGACATGATAGAGATGCAAAGATAAGTGTAATCATCCAGCATTGTTTTGATCAAAGGCGTCATCCACGTTTTTGTAACATGAATCTCTGCTGTTACGGTTAATGAGGACAAGGAGACAACACGGGAAAATCCCAAATGCCTATATAAAAAAAGAAAGGGTTCTAAAACCACCATCCACACCCATCTTGAATTTACGCCTCACGGCCAAAACATCCCAGCTCTACAATATCATTCTAGCTCTTGTGGTCAAATTGCAGGTGTTTCCTTCTTGTGTCATCATGTCAGACATCAAAAACAAAGAAGAAATGACAGGTCAGTCTTTAGTGCGTTTGGGTTTCAGGGTGTGGGGAGAAACTCTGTCGAAGGGCACTACCAGTAACCAACCACACGTAATATCCACCTTTTGTTTTCAGTGTTGCACTGTTTGACATGTGGCAGGAAATACGTTCTTTACATATGTTCATAAGAGGAAGCATAACCGCAGGCGTGTGCGCGGGTTTGCAGTGCGCGCTGAGTGACTTAGTGAGAGAAGCCAAACAAGTGAAAGAAACCATTAAGACAAGCCCTGCTGTCAGAGGAGTTTTAGTTAATCTGTAGGAGCTCACCTTTGAAGGAGAGGCGAATCCGCGGAGCAGACTGCTGCAGGCCCGAGCCTCTGTAAACACATAAGGCCAGCAGGAGGAGTTGGGCTCCGGATGCTGTCATGGTAACGGTCATGCAGGTAGCCCACAGAGATCTAAATCTGGACACAAAAAAAGGAAAGAGGAATGAACTATTATTATTATAGAGTGCCCCAAGAGAAATATGGAGACAGAAAAAGAAGCAAGGACAGGCAGGGGAGTCTCTCTCTCTCTCTCTCTCTCTCTCTCTCTCTCTCTCTCTCTCTC